AAATTTTCAATAAAAACGGATACTTTATTGTTGAGATATTGGACGTAGAAAAAAATCGACAATATTTTCCAAAAAAAACATAAAATTCTGTTTCTCTTCAAGATGCTCGATTTACAAGAATAAACAATAATTGTTTATGAATATTTCAGGGTTATCTAAATAGCATATTAGCTATTTATCAGCAAAATTTCAAGTCAAAATCCGTTTGTTTCGATTTTATGTTGAGAGAGAATAATTTTATTTATGATATTCTCCTAGATTAGTGGAATGGTTGAAAATTTACGAGGTCCTTTTATCAGATACCTTAACATTATGTTTAACAATATCACTTTAAAAAAGCAAAGCCGCATTTCGTTTATATGAATAAAAAAAAAGTTGAGAAAAGAAAAGATATACTAAAAAAGACAATGACGATCCGTATAAGATTGATTGTTCGGGTTAAGGGTGACTTGTTAATTATATATTCATCTATCTATGATTACTACTAAGGTTATGTCAGTTTAAATAAATCTTGATTTTTCCATATAAGATCTTCTAGTGAAATTTATTTTAATTATTCTATTGTCTCTTCGAAGGAACATTCACCTCTTAACAGTTAACCTTTCAGTTTTTTGGTCAGAGAAGACCTTATAGAATAAAAGAGAGATTTTTTTTTCTAAATCTCTTTGAATGATCTGAGAGGTGAGTAACTCTAATCGAAACTCGATTTGCCTCGGAATCATATTGAGAGGAAGAAAACAGCAGAACAACAATCTTTAGGAAAATGGTTCTATGGGAATACTCCGAGACAGAGAATTTAACTTTTAGATTTATTTATCTGAAAAACAAATTCATCTATCATTAACAATATCAACGCTTTTTGGAAAGCAAAGGCCGACCATCAATATACAAATAAGGAAAGTCTAGATTATTAACAAGTCTGAATATATAACTCCTCACTGCGTCAACTAGTAATACTTTCATTTTTCCTCTATTTAGTATAAATCAGCCAGCCTATCATATTTAGCTTTGACAATAAAAACTAGAGTATATTATCATTATTTTATTGTCTGACTATGATCCAGAGACTAAACCAAAAAAGATTCATTCTCAAATATATTTCGTTGAATTAGATTTATTGTCCGCCTTTATTTGACTAATCAGAGATTTTTCTATGAGATTTGTTCTCATCCATATATCTACTTGATCTTTATTTGTCAAGTCGGCTTTCTTTCTTCCATTAGTTTTTTTTTTTTTTTTGAGAAGAGAGAATATCATCCTACCGATATTGTTTAGATGTTGCTTCTTCTTTCCAACTAATATTCAATCACTACACTCTCAACAAATCGATAATGATCAAATAACGAAAGAGGTCAATGCAACCAACTGATAAAGAATTGAAATCTATGTTTTATCGAATAAGGGTGACCCACAGATTGTTTATATTAAAAGTTGTTTAACTCTGAGATATACATGTTTTTTTGGTTCCAGTCGTGAATGTGAGCAAGCTCATTGTGAGAATAAATGATCCATCTAGAAGAAAATGAAAAGGGAAAAGACGAAACGCGATGATTCGGGAGTATCTACGACGACAGATAACAACCAACCTTCCTTTTACTTCAGTTGAATGACATTTTTCAAGAAGAGTACGCACTATATCATTCTCGCATGATAAGTATTAGAACAAAACTACACAATTTATATCATCCGTGTCTTTATTAAGTTAATCAGGGAGAAATAAATATCATTTATAATAAATAGAAGTGCATTAAATCGAAAGTGTCGAAGACGTTATTGTAGTTGTTCTTTAAAATCAGTCTGGTGGAAAGGCAATGGTAGAAACAGGTTTAACTTCGACTAGAAATTGAAAAATCCATAATAGATTATAAATAAATCGAATCGAAATATATCAATAGGAACTCGTCAACGATCTTTCACTTCCTTCAAATAATCATATTCAATTGAAATAAATAATTCAGTTACCATTTTCTAATTAAAAAATCCAGATCAGTATCATCTGAACTTTTCTATAAAATCAAATTTAATTTGACAATCTAAATATTTTTCTATAAAATAAAAAATCTCCTAGGAGTTTCAATTTTCAAGATAAAAATTTTATTATTCTCAAGAATTAATTTTTGTCTAGGATAAATTCATATAGAATTATATATTTTCATATTTGAAAATCTTATTCGATGAATAATTTTCCGACGTTGATTTTAAATATTCGTTTCAAGGTAAAACAGTTTATTCAATAACTGTTTATAATATTAGGTTAGTTAATGCAGTATGAAGAAAATAAATCGAGGTTTATACTCAATCTGATACTCTTCAAACAAACGATATTTTATCTGACGATTTAACTACCTTTTTTTTCTAATCCTACTATTATTATTGAATAAAATGGATTAAACAATGGTTAAATGTTAATGGTACTTGTTTAGAATAATAAATATTTTATTAATTAATAAGAATTGAAATATTAATCGATTTCTATAAGATTTTATAAGATTGTTATCGATTAATAAAAAGAAAAAAAAATGTTCGATTAAAATCAATTAAATAGATAAATTAATCAATATTTGAAAAAAAGTAAATAAATCTTTGTTCAAGATTGATCATAAATTATTTATAAAATCAATCATTTTATTGATTATAAAAATTTTTTATTCTTTTACAAATATAAATCAACAAAATTGTGTGGCCTCCCCCCCCCCCCCCCTACTCGGCTACATCGGCTCGAATCTGTTTATCTTGATTAATTATGGTTATTATATAATAAGATTTATTTTATTTATAAAATTGATCAATCATTATCAATATAAGATAAATAAACAAATTTTAAATAAATTGTTTAACGAGATAATCTATAGAACTGATAAATATAATTAAAACTAATATTCTTTACCATAGATAGAGTTGATAATGCTTTATAAAAATAGTGAAAATATTTCTCGAATTAGTTCTTTCTTCTTCAATAATAATAATTTTAGTCAAATATTTAATCTATTATTGATTATTAGAAAATTTATTTCAATTAACAATATTCAGTTGAATACTTTTTTATAATAATAGATCTTTTGCTCCTTATTATATTCTCAATCTTTAACCTAAAACGAATCAGTTTTTCTTAATATATTCATTCTATATCTCAATAATTGAACATTTAAAGAGATAGTTCATCTCAAAAGATAACTATTCATTTCACTTTTAACTTTTATAATATAATAACGACTATTAGTTCTAGTTTTATGTAAATTTTCAAGTCAAAACTCGTTGTTGAGCTGACTTTTAATAATATCCTTGTAATAGAGTGAACAATTGACTAAAATAATCAGAACTCGAGAACAAATGGTAAATAGCATCAACCCTTTAACGATTTTTATCTAAATAATCAATCGTTATCTATGATAAATAATTATCTATGATAAATAATTATCTATGATAAATAATATCTGATGAAAGTCTATTTATAAATAGTAAAGGTTCTCTCATTAGTAAATATATTTCTTTTTAATCAGTTATCATAGATTTCAATTTTAATTATAAATCTTAATATAATTATTATCTGATATAACAATTAAGAATAATTCTAATCTATTTAAATTATTTTGAGAAAAAAACAAAATCAATTTATTATAAATATATATTTGAAAATTTCTCTTTTCTCTATGTCATTTTATCAATTATATATTCAATAAAGAATTTTTCAAAATATTATTTTATCTTTTTATGAAAATATTTTAAAATTTCTTATATTTTATAATAAGAAAAAGAAAATTTTCAAATGAGAACTAAACTATAGATTTATTAAAATAGATTTAACTCGAAATAATTGAATAATTCTAATAAAGATTTTTACTTTTTTTTTCATTTTATAAAACAATATTGACTATGATTCAACTATATTTTTGACAAATATAGAACGATAAATTTACATTGAATTCTCGTCAAAAATCATTTTATTTTCTAAAAAATAAATAATAATTCTATATAATTATTTCAAAATCTCTTCATTTATAATTTCTATAGAAAAACAACTCTGAATGATGTCACTAGTCATCGATTGAAATCGAAACTAATATATATTTCAATTCGAATATATGTTTAAGATTTTCATTGAAATATTATTTTTAATATCGAGAAAATTCAAGTAAATAAATCATTGTTAAACAAAAAAAAAATTGAAATGACTACTAAGAAGATGATTTAAAACGAACCAATTGAAATATTTGTTCGAATTTTCTTTGTTAAATATTCTTTTTTTTATTTCTAATATATATTTAATTATTAATTAATAAATGGTTCTCACTAGTTTTTATTTGATTAATTATATGATAAACTATATTTAATTAGAAGAAATCTTTTTTTTTTTTAATACTATTTTTGATAATATTATTCTAAGGAAATTTTTTATTTTAATTCTAAGAATATTAAATAATAAATATTATTAAACATCAATAAAAATCTTTCTTGAAAAAAAAAATCCAAAGAAGGAAGAGATATAAATAATAATAATAAAAATCTTCCTAATATTTCTATTCGATTGTTTTTAATTAAAAAAATATTTTGAATATTCTCTCTCGAAATCAATCTAATCTTTGTTTATCTTTTAATCATATTATTAATTGAATTAAAATAAATAAATAAGAATATAATTGGTTATTTTCTAATATGTCTCTCTGTGTCTATGTCTTTTTTATTTTTCGTAGATGATGACCTTTCAATGAACTAAGTCAAAAGAAATATTCGTTCATTGGTTGATTTAATCAATTTGGGAAAAACATCAACGAAAGAGAAAAAAAAAAGATCGAAGTTTGGACGAATATAAATATGATTGAATTGTTTATAGAATAATCTCTAAACGAAGGAAGATTGAGATTTATTATATATAGATATAAAATTCGTTTAGATCATAAATAAATAAATTTTTAATTTGATTAATTAATGTAAGTTTTTTATTTTTTTATTTAAATTAATGAGAATGATTTTTATTTTTATTTTCAAATAAAAAAAGTAAAATGTCAAATAAAGATGATGAATCAATTGAAATGTTATATTCAAAATTATGTCTTGATTTAAATATGGATATTGAAACAAAGTTAGATGCATGGCGTTCATATGAACATATTCGTAAACATTATGTTTTAGAAGGAGATCAATTACATTGGTTAGCTGTTTCATTATATTTATCATGTAGAAGATATAAACATATAACAACAAATCAATTTAATCCAATATCAATATCACGTTTATTAAAAAGTGCTAATAATTTAGAATTATTTATTTTTTTTGATAAATTACATAAATGGGAAGATATGGCTAATTTACCTGATTCAATTAGATGTAAAATAGATCAAGTTGAACATGCTTTTAATATATCATCAATTATATTTGAAAAATATACAAAAATATTTATTGAAATATTTGGTGGAAATCAATATAAATTAATTTATTCAGATTATCAATATAAAAGAACATCAAATCAAATAAATCCAAAATTAAATATTAAAAATAAATTAAATAAATGTTCACATCAAGATTTATATTCACTTATTTGGACAATATATGCTTTAGCTAAAACAATTTATCCATCAACTATAAATGATCTTATTGCTTCATTTCATTTACTTATTTCTTCTTTTTCTTTTATTTATTATTATGCTAAATTAGCTAAATTAGATTATTTACTTAAAGGTAACTTTTTTTATTTATTTACATTTTAAATAATATATCTATTTAATAGATATCAATCTTTTCTTTTTTTTTTTCTGTACTCAAAAAGTGAATACACGATAGAATCGGTTAGTGTGTCTAACCGTCCGTTTATACGATAACTCTTCACAATTACATTCGATTGAGCTGAAATTTTGTGCACAGAATTGTCTCATCAATATCTCGGTCGAGAGAAGAAGATGAGAAGGATCCGTCAAGAAATGGCTGAGTTATCGAAAAAAATTTTCATTATTGACCAGACCATCCTTGAGGAGGGGAGGGTACAGGCATTTTTTCAAAAAAAATATTTTTCTCAGAATTATTCACAACATATATAAATCGACTCAGTTTTTAACGCTGATTCCGAATCTGATATTAGTTTTGAACCAAATCGTAGTTTTCTAACAAAACATCGCCTGAAAAAGGTCTCAAAATGTACAAAAACTGCATCGAGAAACCAAATTGCCTAGATATGTCTCAGATGACCAGTAGTTTTGGGCTTTTCCAAATGGCTGGTTTTGTAGATAGTCAAAAGGACTATTGAAAGGTAAAAATCCGAACTCGATAGCTATTAATATTGGTGTTTTATTATGAAAATACTGATGGTTGTATCTATTATATATCTCTTATAGATTGATGAGGTTGCTTACGATCGTAATCCCGCTAGATACAAACGCAAATCCATTCAAAAATAACTCTTCTTACCCAGTTTTCCAAGCTAAAGACGAATCTGAACTCAATTTCTGTGATTTCTAAAGATATTATATCATTCTGAGAGTAGAGTCAGTGGTCACAGGATAGGGTCGCATAAAGTGTGGTCCATGATAACTTAGCACGCTTGAGCGCACTAAGGAACTGCCATATAGACCCTGCGGATGCCCTCTTTTTGTCCCGTAGGACGTGGCGAGAAGTTAGTTCCGGAAGTTTTATTCATTCGCATAAACTTCTTTGCTTTAGCTGAATCGTGTTTCTTTTTATAAACTGATGTTAATTATTTAAAAGTGCGGTAGAAATTGTTGAGGATTATCTCGAAAAGGTAAATGAGCATAATAATGACTACCATTATAGTAAATAGAAAGTCCTAGTTTATTAATATCGGATTTTTATCCTATATATTTTCGATGACCACCTGCTGTTTCTTTAATAAATCGATTGACTAGTTCCTGTAAACTAATATTCGATGAAATATAATATCTATTTTTTGGATCGATGTTAAACTGAATATATGAATAGATAGGATGAGATAGAGGCATAGAAAGCGTTTGAATTTGAATTTCTCCACCTGATATTGTATCCATAGCGATTCTTTTCAACTGTTCCTCAAATGAATACTACAATAGTTTATAAAGTGTTTGAAACTAATCGGTATTATTGATGATTTCATTATTTGAAAGGTTGAGAGTGTGATTGATTCTATTTTTGAACAAATAAAAAACAAAGTGAATATACCTTTTCACTTTTTCAAGTACAAATAACACTCCGATTTAAATTCGAGGTTTTCGTATTTATTTTAAATATTTAACAGATTTTTTTAATTTATTCGATAGAAATTATTTTCAATAGGTTTTTTTTCTCGAATATATTTATTTGGATAAGGTTAGAATTAATTTAAATTTATTCTTAATATAATTATTAATCAATGAATATAAATATAATTGAATATTATTATTTTATAATTAATATTAACAATCGATTAATAATCATTTAGAATTTTCATTTTATTATATTTATAATATAAAGAAAATAGAATGGTGAATAGAGTATATCGATTCTATCTATTCTATCCAGTTTATTATCACCCTATTATAACCTATTAACGATCTACTAGTTACACTAGAATTTAATATCTATCGTCTATTTTATATCCAGTTAACTGACTAAGAATTTATTTGATAATTATTATTTTAGTTTTTGAGGAAACTTTTTCAGAATGAGGAAATCTCAATCTCAAATGAAAATTTTCAGTTTGACTTTTTTCCAAAAAAATCGAACCTTTTTTTAGTGGAAAAAAATGTGACTAAAAATTTTGAAATTTTCATTTGAGATTGAGATATCCTCATCCTGAAAAAGTTTCCTCAAAAATTGAAATAATGATTATTGAATAAATTCTTAATCAGTTAACTGAATATAGAATAGACGATAGATATTAAATTCTAGTGTAACTGGTGAATCTTTAATAGCTAGTAGATGGGTAGTCACATGATGAAAACTAGATAGAGTACCAACTTTGCGGTTTCTCGGTTGAGAGGTTAGGATTCTTTGAGAAGGTTTCGATAATATTTTAAATTTTAAATAATTTTCAGTGTTGAGATGATCTAGTCTGACTGTTGATTAAATCTAATAATAATTGTTGATAAATAATTTAAATATTTATTTAATTCAGTTTGAATAATAAATATCTTTAATAAATGATTTATTTTATTTTATTTTATAAAAAAAAAAATTTGATGATTATATAATAGAAGTAATTCAATCTATTCGTCTTTTTTTCTTTATTCGTTAATTAAACTATAAGAAAATATTTTTGTTGAAACAAACTGAGATAAAGTAAAAAGTTTGATAATTGTTTTATCTATTCTTCGAGTTATTTTTTATCTTAAAATGAAATAAATGTTGAATTATTTGTTTTAAATAAATAAAAAACTTTGTTATTGTTAAAGGTTGTTGTTTAAATGAATTATGTTCAAATGATGGAACTATATTGGATAAATTATGTCTTAAATATAGTTGTTCATCTGATATCTGTCGATCAATAATTGAACAACATTTTAAAAATGATTTATTTAAAATAGTTGATAAAAAAGAAGATTTTTTATCGGAATTAAATTATTTGGAAACAATTCGTGATATAAATCGTCAATATGATGAAATTGTATTAACAAATTGTATAATTGATGAAAGAATTTTTTTAGAAAAAAATTCTCAATTAAATGATTTATGTAATTCATTAAATGAAAATCGATATTCAAAAAGTTCTCAAAATCGAACACCATTAACAGCAAATCAACATATTAAATCAAATGATTTAAATCAATATTTAACACCAATATCTCAAGCTAATCAATTAATTCAATTATTATATTCAATTGTTCAACAACAACAAACAAAACCAACAAACAATCTTATTTATATTATTGGACAACAAACTTATTTAGGTTAACCTTTTTTTTTTTTTTCTTTACTAATCGAACATAAAACAAATCTTTTTTTCTTTCTTCAATTCAACTTTTTCTTTTTTTTTCAACATAAAATTTTCTTAGAGAAAATTTCAAGTTAACCATTTGGATTTTTTCCCTCTTAATAGATAGAATTTTAAAAATCCCTATTGACAATTGAAACAAATTCGAAATCTATTTCAATCTTGTCAAAGGCATCTCGTTTTTATTGACTGTAGAAGAGAGAAACTATCTAGAAGTTAAGCTTTTTTTAGTTCAGGTTCGATTATAGAGAGGTGAAACAAGATCGATAATAATAGAAAGAGTTCTTAGCTAAGATTTATCTTATAAGACTAGGATAATAATCATAAGATTTTTTTTACTTTTTTTATAATTAGAGGAAACGGGAGATGATCAACCGTTATTAATAATAATATTTAAATATAATCATATTAAGATTTGTATATAAAGTAAATAAACATTTGAAATCCTATGTTAAAAGTTGATCGATAACAGAATTATATTTAATAAAATTTTTTCAATTAAAATCAATAATGAGACTAAAAAGAGGAAAAATAAATTGAATTAAAAAAATATCGATTATTGAAATAGATGATTTTAGTTAAAATTGATTATTCAATGAAAATAATTTAATTTATTAAAATCAATTAAAAATAATAATTATTATAATGATAAATTAAATATTATTCTTTAGATATTGATTTAAGATATTTAGATCATTTATATAAAAATATAATTTAAAAATAATCATATAGATAAAATATCTTTTGTTTTATTTTGTTAAAATTTAGATGATCTTGTTGAACGTTTAAATGAATGTGAATATTTATTTAATAGTCAATATGATTTAATAGAAAATCTAAATAAATATAGTGAAGAAGAAAATCCATCTCGATCATGTAAATCACGTTTTGATTTATCATTAAAATTATTTTATTATTCTATTGAAAATATTTTAACTATTGAAAAAAAACGATTAATTTCAAATAAATTTAATTCAGAAGAAATTCAACAATCATTTCAGTAAATCTTCTTGTTTTTTTTTGTTTTTCTTTATATTATAAATAAAAAGTATTTTCTAGTAAATTAATATTAAATAATGAATTTATTCGATCTCTTGTTGGTTTATGTTTATTATTAGTATTATATGCTCATAGAGATAAATATCATGATTTTAATTGGATATTAAATATTTATTCATTAGATGGATATTCATTTTTAAAAATAATACAAATTTTTTTAAAAACATCTCAACAAATAATTAAATCAAGATCATTTATTAAATATTTATCATCAATTGAAGAAAATATATTATCATCAATGGCTTTTTCAAATAAATCATTATTATGGAATGATATTCAATTAAAAGGAATTTTATCATATAAAACAATATCATCAATTCAATTTAATCTAACAGATAAATCATTATCACCAACAAATAATTTAACTTCAATCTTAATTCAATCACCAAATAAAACAAATGTATCAAGAAAATTATTTCAATCCGATAGATCAGATCAATCAACAGTAAGAACATTTTTTTTTTGAATATATACTCTCATCTATTAACAAGATAAATTCTTCGTTTAGAATATATTCTTCTTTTTTTTTTCTATATTTTTTTTTTTTTTCACAATTAACCTTGATGAAAGTTATCTTGATGGATATTCTATTAAATATGATAATTGAGGTTGACATTCTTTTAGAAAATGATTCTCAAAGAATGAAAATAAATTTGTAAATAATAACGATTATTATTATTATAGAGGAGGATAATTATCTCATAAATAAAATCAATTGATCAGTAAAGAGTTATTTATTTCAATATAATATTATTGATAAATCATTTTAAATTCTTCTCTATACTAAACATCTTTTTTCTTTCGAGAAGAAGATTTTTTTCTAAACTATATTAGACGAATATATGACGATTATTTCCTATGATCAATCTTTATTTTTCTAGATTTTAATAAAAAAAAAAACACGATTGATTAAATGTTGATCGAAATCGATTTATTGAAAAAGGTTGTTATTTAAATAAAAATTTCAACTAAATAATATTCTATTATAAAATTAAGATTCGTTTATTTGATTTAATAAATATATTCCTATAGAAATAAGAAAAGAGTTTTAGTTAGTTAGATGACATATTGAATAAATGTTTTTTTTTCTAAAATATATTCAAAATTGATTTAGAAAAACAATCGTTAAATAGATATATATTTTCGAAGATTTTTATTTTTATTTGAATAAATATAATTCTAGAATAAAGGAAAGAGATTTTATTTATCTATGTTAATTAATTTAAAAAAATCTTTTATTTAATTGTGTTAAATATTTGATTTTGAGAAAAAGTAAATTCTTATTTAGAATAAATTGACAATAAATCGAAGTAAATCAGATGGAATTATTGAAAATAATGATAAAAAGTCAATTAAATTAAGTCCATATATAATGTTTTATCGTAAATTATATGAATATGTTTTATCTCGTCTTGATATAATTTGTTCTCGTTTATATGGATCTGAATCAAATAAATTTGAAAAAATTGTTTGGAATTTATTTATATATTTATTTGAAAATTATACAGAATTATTATTTCGTTCAAGAGATTTAGATCAAATAATATTATCATCAATTTATTATGTTGCTAATTCACATTTATTTCAAAATCAATTTTATACATTAAATGAAAAAGAATTAACATGGTATCGTTTAATTCAAGCATATAAATCAATGCCCAATTCAAAATTAAAAACAGTTCGAAGTGTTTTTATTCGTTCAATAAATAAAGATGATTTTATTGAAAATGAAGAAAATATTGGTAAGATTTATAGTTAAATAAAATAAATTTATTTTCATTTTTTATTTAAGATAAAAATCCATGTTTAACACCATCAAAACCTGCTGGAACAAAAAATTTAATTGATGGAAATATAATTGGTGATATAACCAGTTTTTATAAAGAAATTTTTTTAAATATTCCTAATCTTGAAAAAAATCTTGAAAATAATTTAAATGAAAATCAATTAATTGATCTTCCATATAGAAATAAAACATTTGAAAATAATAAATCTGAATATTTAAATATAAATATATCGTCAAATATATTTATTAATTATTCATCAAATAAAATTCAATCAAATTTATCTTATCCTCAATCAACTAATAAAACAAATTATTTTATTAAAGATAAACAAACAAATTCAACATCAAATGTTTTATCATCATCTATTCAAGCAGGTAATCTTTATTATTATTATTATATTAATTATATTGAATTTATATTTCAACTATTTCTTTTTTATATTATTTATTATTTTCAATAAATATATTAGATTTAATCGAATATTAATTAACAATAGAGAATATAATCATTCTTAATAAGATAATTTATTAACAAAAAAACGGAGAGATAATTTGATTTGTCTATCGAATTAAACAAAAGATAGATTTTCCTTTTTTTTCAATAGTTTTTAGTTATAATAAAATATATATTAGATTTTAAATATTTTCATTAAAAAAATTTCGTCAAATAAATTAAATATTAGTTCGATTAATCTGAATAGAATTTATTAATTAGACTCTTCTCTTTATTAAAAATAAAACAATTTTATTTATTCATAACTAACTATATTTAGACTTCGAGCTATTTTATTTGAAATTTTAATCGAATATATTAGTTTTATTTAATAAGACAATACCATATTAACATTTAATAATATAAAATGTTTTTTTTTTTTTATTTTCTATTATATAATTATATTAAATAAATCTTTAGTAAAATAATTATTAGTTGATCAATGTTAAATAAACAATTAATTAATATATTAAATAATATTATTATTATTTAGAAAATTTTAAAAATCAAATTCAATTTATATAATATCAATAATATCGAAATTTGTTTGTTTTATTTTGTTTTTTATTAAATAAATTGTAGGTGCAAATAATACAGTACGAACGACTCGAACTCGAACTGAAGATGGGAAATTTTTAACAACTATTTCAACAATATCAAAAATAAATAATTCAAATGATAATCAAGATAATATTCTTATTAATAGAAATGAAAAAAATCTTTTTTTTGGCCAATCAACAAACAATTCTATTAAACGAACACTTTCCGATGATTCAAATTCAAATTGTTTAACAAGTTTAACAAAAAAAGTTTTACAAATTGAAAAAGATCGACAATATATTCAAGAATATTAATTTTTTCTTTTTTTTTTGTTTTTTTTTGTTTTTCTTTGTTTAATTCATTTATATAACGTATATCAATAAATATCATTTAAAACAATAAATCATTATTACTATTATTATTATTATTATTAGAATTCAATTTACTTAAACATATTCATTCAACTATTATTTACATTAATTAATCTTTAAATCAAATTTCATTTCACCTATTCTTTTTTTATTATTTTATATTTGACATTTATTAACAAATAAATAGAGGCAAAAATAAATTCTTTCAAAGAATTTCTTCAATAAATATATCTAAAGAGAGACCGCATGAGAGGGTCGAGCATTGCGCCATAGGGCCATTTTATGAAAAAAATTAACATATACTTTTTTTATATCAATCGATTCCTCATACAAAACTGAGATTACGAAAAAATGTTTAGGCTTCTACGATGTAATTTGACGGAGTTACAGGCATTGAAACACGAGAGGCGTCTAGAACATCTGGAAAAAATACTAGTTGTATTGTTTTGCTTATATCTCCGTCATTTTTTGTTCGTCCAGGTTAGACAACGTCTCATTCGAAAGAGCGTCAAAAACTGAATAAAAAGCCACTTACAGATTCCTAAATAAATGCGGCAACTTCGGATTTAAATCCGAGAGTTATGTGTACTTCAAAAAGTGAATTAGACAGATGAGTCATCCTAGAATGTGTGGATATCAAAATTATACTGTGGAAACCTTTCCTATAAACTGTTTATTTCTGTTGGCTATTGGTCCATCAATAGGCCTTGGAGGCGAATAGAGCTCAAATTTGAACTCTTCGCCTTGATTAACCCTAAGAAAGTCGTTTTTTCCTATAACTTGATTTCTATTGGTCACTGCTCAACCAATAATATTTTGAGGCAAGTGGAGTACGGATTCGAGTTCTCCGCCCCAGAAAACCTCAAAGTATCAACTCTATGATCGGAAGATAGAGCTCGAATTGTGAGTCAATTAGATCGTGGACAAAGACGTAATCCATTTCCCTTTAATTATCTTTGTAATAGGTGAGTTAGCCTTCTTGTTACTTTATGTTTTATATACCATTTTGTAGCTCGTGAAATTCTCTATCGAAAGGTATATAATAGTTAGGGTTTTATTTAACTATGATAGGAAAAGTTGTTTACGAAAGCCAAGATGGGTCAGTTTTCGCATAGGAAGCTATAGGGAAAAATGACAATTTTTGAAATAACTCACGAATGGCTCGGTCGATCATGCTCATCTTCGAACTTGACCGAGACATTGTTAAGACTGAACTGTGTAGAAAATTTCATCGCGATTGGACTCTCCTTTCAAAAGTTATCGTGTTAACGGCCGGCCGGACATACTGATCGATTCTAGAGTGTACTCACTTTTTGAGTACACAAAAACTGAGTCTTCATATCGTAAAATTTTTTTTCCAAAAAATCTCTACTTTTTTGAAATCAAGTTTTTGTCATTGCAAGTCTTTTTTTCAATACAGCAATTATGGGGGGGGGGGGACTTTAATACAGTAGATCTTGTAGAGGAGTTCGCGCTCTACAAAATTCCTATAAAGGTTTTGAGAAAAGAGTTTCAGAAAGGACCCAAAAACAGTGACGAAACGCCAATCCATGACATAAATTTGTGCTTTTTTGCCTCATATTTACCAGATATCGGCTAGAAAAGTAATGATTTGACCAAAACTAATATCATATTCTGAATCAGCACAAAAAACTGAGTCGATCTGTGTGTATCTCAAATAGTTCTGAGCCATTTTATTTTTCATCAAAAAAATTCCCTCTACTCCCCCTCAACGAGTAATTGAACTCTGAGGGGAAGTAAGGGAAAATATTTTGATGAAAAATAAAATGTCTCAGAACTATTTGAAATATACATGAATCGATTCAGTTTTTTGTGCTGATTCAGAATGTGATATTCGTTTTGGTGAAATCATTATTTTTCTAGTCGATATCTGCTAAATACGAGGCAGAACTGAACTCTGAGGGGGAGGGGGGAGTAGGGCGAATTTTTTTGATGAAAAATAAAATGTTTCAGAACTATTTGAGATACACACAGATCGACTCAGGTTTTTGTGCTGATTCAGAATATGATATTAGTTTTGGTCAAATCATTATTTTTCTAACCGAAATCTGGTAAATATGAGGCAAAAAGGCACAAATGTATGTCATGGATTGGTATTTCGTCACTGTTTTTGGGTCCTTTTTGGAATTTTTTTCTCAAAACCTTTATAGAGATTTTGTAGAGCGCGAACTCCTCTACAAGATCTACTGTATTAAAGTTTCCCGCCGATAATTACTGTATTGAAAAAAAGACTTACAATGACAAAAACTTGATTTCAAAAAAGGAGAGATTTTTTGGAAAAAAAATTTTACGATATGAAGACTCAGTTTTTTAGGAATCTGTAAGTGGTTTTTTATTCAATTTTTTACGCTCTTTTGAATGAGACATTGCCCAACCTGAATGAACAAAAAATGACGGAGATATAAGCAAAACAATACAACTAGTCTTTTTTCCTGATGTTCTAGACCCCTCTCGTGTTTCAATGCCTGTAACTCTGTCAAATTACATCATAGAAGCCTAAAAATTTTTTCGTAATCTCAGTTTTGTATGAGGAACCGATTGATATAAAAAAAGTATATGTTAATTTTTTTCGTAATATGGCCCTATGGCACAATGCTCAACCCTCTCATCCGGTCTCTCTTAATTAAAGCATTCTTTTTAGTTAAGCATGTAATTATCAATCTATCTCGTTGTTGACTATTTATATTCAAATTCTCAGAGGATCTGACTCTTTATTCAGAAGAAAAAACATTGTTTTTTTCTGTTGGCTTGGATAATGCCTTTTATTGCTTCCATAAATAAGCTCTAGTAAGATCTCTTCTCCCTACTTTTGTTGCGTGTAGAAGAAAAAAAATGAAAATGAAATACAATTATAGTAGCTTTTATTAAAGAAAAAAAAATATACAAGAAGAGCAAGCGAAACTAAATAAGCGCTCGAATAAGATACTCAAAATTTTAGTGATAATGATAATTTATAAAAAGTGGGCGAAACAAAGTTCTTTTTGGCACCATGAACACCGAATCATTTGACAATTAATACAATTTTTTTCAAAACATTTATCCGTTTCAAAGTTTCATCCACTGTTTTATAAATTATCATTATCATTAAAGTTTTGAGTATCTTGTTCGAACGCTTATTTAGTTTCGCTTGCTCTTCTTGTATGTTTTTTTTTCTTTAATAAAAGTTACTATAATTATATTTCATTTTCATTTTTTTTCTTCTACACGCAACTAAAGTAGGGAGAATAGATCTTACTAGAGCTTATTTATGGAAGGAATAAAAGGCATTATCCAAGCCAACAGAAAAAAACAATGTTTTTTCTTCTGAATAAAGAGTCAAATCATCTGAGAATTTGAATATGAATAGTCAATAACGAGATAGATTGATAATTACATGTATAACTAGAAAGAATGCTTTAATTAAGATACAAAAAAATCCACCGATGAAAGTGGCGCCATCTACTATGGTACTAGTTTACCTCGTAACTCCCGAAAGAAGCAGCATGGTCACGAACCCTTGTAGATAATGTATAGACATGATCACCTCTAGCTACCCACGAAATATCAGCACGAACGATACGAATCACCTGGGAATGTTTCTTCGTTAGTTTTTTTAATGTTCCTGAGGGGGACCACAGCTTTTTTTCGTAAACATATAGTAAAAATACAAAATCTCGGCAGTAATAAGCTAGCGACATGAACTTTTTTCAGAGTATTCATAGATCATTAGGACCTACAGGATGCAAATATGCTTGATTCAAAAGCGATGTGACAGTTGAGAATGTTCCCTCGTGAGTTGAATTTCGGTCAAAAAACAATGAATTATTTTTTGTCGGCGGTAATAGATATTTTATATTCTTGTATTTGCCCGAAATTGGTTGTATTACCTGATAAAATGGATGATGAAACTACAATTCATCGATCAGAATATTCTGAACAACGTAAAGTATATTATCATGCAAAAAGTCCAACAAATTATGCATTCAAAGTGCAAATAGCTTGTGATTTTCATCTTCGAATAGTACATGTACCCAGGTATTATCTAGGTAGTCTGCATGATATTATGATTTTAAGAGAATCAGGTTTGTTAGAACATACACAAGAAGATGTACAAATTATTACTGATAAAGAATATATAAGTGAACAATATATTTATTACTTCGAAAAAAAACCTTGTGGTGGTCATTTAACAGCTAAAGATAAAGATTTCAATCGATCTATTTGCAGCGCAAGAGCAGCTATTGAAAACATTAACCAACGTCTTAAAAATTATGCTATTTTAGGACATGTTTATAGAGAACCTTATTATGATATTGACAAAATCACTACAATTACACATGTTGTTTCAGCTCTATATAATCTTCAATTGTCTACACATCTTATTCGTAATTATAGATCGTGATATATCATCTGTAGTTTCTGATCGATTGTTTGAATAAAACTATGTCAGTGATATTTCTCACGGTTTAAATATCAAGTACGATTCACAATAGCTTTGATAAAAAAACCATTTTGAGAAAAGATTTTATGAAAACACTTGATTATTTTGATTTTGAAAGGATATATAACCCGAGCAATGATAGATCATTAGCACTGCACAAGTACTATAACTAGTAAAAAAAACATATTATTTTGATGTACTATAGAAGTTAAATGATGAAAACAAAGTTGGACCTTCCGGTCAGACTGCTCAACCCAATATATTTAATAATAAAATGTCTTTATTAAAAAAAGATCTTATTTGTTATATTTTGATTATAAATAAATATCATAGACATTTATAATATTCTTCTAATGTGTTATAACCTCAATAGACGTTTACAGTTTCAAATCTACTCTCGTTTTCGTTATGTTTTATAGGGAGTAAATATCTGTTCTTTGGAGGTTTCAATAAGTTTTTGAAAATTCTTTCATATTTGAATAACAAGTCAATAGAATGAACAATTGTGATTATGGAACATATTCTATGAATGAGAGTGATGTTAGAAGTGCAAAGACAATCATAAATAAATGTTGTTTCTATAGAGAGATTTTTTTAAAGACAATTTTCTATTTTAATTCCTGTTCATATGTTTTTTTGTTAAAATCTTTCTTATTTTAAGTGTGAATAAATCTCGATATTATAATAATAGATATTGGAAGAATATTTATTTAAAAAAAAAAGTCGAATAGGAAAGAGACGTCATTGTTATAGATGTCAGTGCTATTGTTACGTTGTGATAAAATCCGTATATATATTTTAAAAAAATGTTAAAAATAAATAAATAATTCTATTAAAAATAAAAAAAATAAAATGAAAATGAATATATGATAAATAGTGAAGAGGAGGTTGATTTGAAAGTAGGATGGTTTGCTATAAATAGAAAAAACAAAAAAAAAAAGACACAAGTTAGTTGGTTGTTTTGTACAACAAGGTTAACAATGATTCGTTTCCTGTTTATTGGTCCGTGACAATTTAACAATTAACGTTGACTTTTATTATATAAATATGATATTTAAATTGATTTTTTTTATTTTATTGGGTATAGATTTAATCATAATTCAATTTAAATCTATATAATGAACAATTTCTATTTTATTTATTTAGAAAATGTTGTATCGAGTCTTCGATGTAAAACAGCGTCGCCATCCAATTGTCATCATAATTTAACATGTACATATGGTATAAAAGAATGTCATTCACCAGAATTCTCATCAAATTCTCGTGGTGGAATGTATTGCACAACAATTCTAGATACTAATAATAATAATGAAATAATTGTTGGTAAAATGGATTGTATGTATGATCAAGAAACAGGTAAAATATGTAAAAATCAAACTCAATGTATTATGACATATACAAATAAAGATAAATTATTTTTACATTGTTGTTGTAATAAAGATAATTGTAATTACAATTTTATCATGTAAGTTAGATTTAATATATTCAACTATTTATTTTTTATTTTTTATTTTTTTCAATTAAATAAAGAAGCAATTTATCCGAAGGAAATTCTTCAACAATATCATCTACTACAGGTATTATTAATAAATATTGTTTAATCTATTATTTTTGTAAATATTCTAGAGAGACCTATATATAAACCTTTTTTACGTAAACCAATTCATATTATATTATTATGTTTAATTATTGGATTTCTAATTATATTAATAATAATATTCATTATTTGTCGAAAGAAATTTCCAAGAAGTGGAGAAAAACTAATTCGTTTATTTGATAAATCATCAAAAACGGATGAAAATCTTTATCCTTTTATAGAAAAAAGCAAAGAAATAAATATAAAAGAATTAACTATTGAAAATCTAATTAAAAAAGGTCGATTTTCTTTAATATATCAAGGAAAATTAAATAATGAACAAGTTGCTATTAAATCTATATCAAATAAAAATGATTTAATTCATTCAAATAAATTATTTGAAAATGAAAAAGATATTTATTCATTACCAAATATGGATCATGAAAATATCGTTAAGTAAGTGTTTCTATTAGAAAAAAAAACGAAAATTAATTTTTTTAAAATAAAAAAGATATTATGGTTATTCAATAACAAATGATAATAATTATATAATTCTTGAATTAAGTAAATATGGTTCATTACGTGATGTACTTCGTAAACGTTTATTAAAAGATGAATATGAATTAATATTAATATCAAAACAAATCTCAAATGGTCTTGAATATCTTCATAATGATTTTCGTCGAAATAATTCAAAAGAAAATTCTCGTCCACCAATTGCACATAGAGATTTTAAATCGGATAATATACTTTATTTAAATGATCATCGATTAGTTATTTCAGATTTTGCAATGGCTAATCAACTTACTCAAAATCAAATTTATCCTTATGAACAACAACAAGTATCGAACGTTTTTTTTTGTTTTTTTTTGTTTTTTTTCTTATATAAAACTCTTTCTTTATTTTTAATTTAAAAAAAAAAGATTGGAACAGCTCGATATATGTCACCAGAAATCTTAGCTGGAACAATTGGATGTGAAACAAATGCTTTACTTAAATGTGATGTTTATGCTCTTGGAATTGTTTTTTGGGAAATTTTATCAAGATATCCATATGAAGGTTTGAAATTATTTTTCATTTATTATAATTAAATTATTTTTGTTTATTGAATAGAAGAAACAAATATTGAATATGAAATGGCATATGAAAAACAATTAATTCAACATGGTTTAGATAATATAAATCCTCAAGTAAATGATATATTACAAATAATTAATCTTGAAAAACCAAATAATCGTCCATTAATTAAATCATTATGGAGAAAATCAAATAAAAAATCTATAAATGAAATTCTATTGACAATGGAACAATGTTGGGATCAAAATCCTGAAGGTCGAATTAGTGCAGCTTTAGTTGCATTAAGAATGAGACAATTATCATAGAACTATATATATATATTTCTCATTTATTTATCTCGTCTTTTCCTTTTTGTTTTTTTTTTATTTCTACATCTTTATTATTTTCAATTACCTTGTACAAATATATCGAACATAAACAATTTTTTTTTGTTTTGTTAATTTAAAAAAAACTTGAATTATTTCGTTTTGTTGTATCAAAAGGAAATAATTTAATTGTAAATCGTTTTTATGTATTTCTATTGTGTAAACGTTCGTCAAATATTTGTTTTAAATGAATATTATATTCTAGATTATTTTATTAAATAACAAATCAACGACAATATGCCAGTTCTTGCAACAGAATCTGTTCAAACAACATCAAATGATCTTAATCAATCCGAAGGAACCGTTCAAATAAAAGATGTTAAAGATGGTAACGAAACGTTTTTTCACGTTTCTTTTTTTTAAATTAGAATAATAAGATACATTCTAGTTTATTTATTGAAATAATTATTTTATATAAATTAATTTAAAATAAGTTTCATTTAGATATTGTTGAGAGAAAGAAAAAAAAATTTGAAAAAATTTTATTTTAAATTAAAAATCTTTGTATAAGTTAAAATCTATTGTTATTATAATAATTATTGAAAAATGGTTTAGATTCTGAATCATGTTCATCAGAAGAAAGTGGAAATGAAGGTGAAAAAGAAAGTGAAGATGTTAAACAAAGTCATCCATTAGCTGAAGCAGCTGGAATTGAAGAAGAATTACAATCAAAACAAAAACAAACACGTTCGGAAAAAAAAGCTCGTAAAGCAATGGCTAAACTTGGTTTACGTCCAGTTCAAGGAATTCTTCGTGTTACAATACGAAAATCTAAAAATATATTATTTGTTATTCAAAAACCTGATGTTTATAAAAGTCCAGCATCAGATACTTATATTGTTTTTGGTGAAGCCAAAATTGAAGATCTTTCTCAACGAGCACAAATAGCTGCTGCTAATCAATTTAAAAATATTGGACAAAATCAAACTTCAACTAATTTAAATACAAATGATCAAACATCAAATTTATTAAATAATAATGATAAATTACAAACAGATAAAAATCAAAATCTTCAATCAACAACTAAAACAGAAACAATTCATGAAGAAACTGATGAAGATGAACAGGTTTCACCTTTAGTTTTCTTTTTTTTTTTTTAATTAAATATAAGAATATTTAAGGTTGATGCTGAAGGTATTGAAGAAAATGATATTCAATTAGTTATGTCTCAATCGAAAACATCACGTTCAAAAGCAATAAAAGCTTTAAGAAAATGTAACAATGATATTGTTAATGCCATTATGGTTAGAATATCATTTTTATTTTGATTTATATTATTTTAGAATTAAATTTGTTTCTTTTTTTGTTTTAGGAATTGGCTGAATGAGACATAACGATTTGTTTTAACAAACGATCAAAAAACAAGAAGACATTTACACATAAGCCACTTCAATTATTTCTTTTTTCTTTTTTCTTTTCATTTATTGTTATTACACCGGAGTTTGTTTTTTTTTTCATGATTAAAAAAACAAAAAGAAGAGTCCTGAAAAGTGGCACTAATAAACAAGAATAAATATTATATTCAATTTATCCTACATCAATTATTTACAAATTTCATCAAACATTTTTCAATCAACATTTCAATTAGACTTTTTTTTTTTTTTTTTTTAAACAAAAAAAAAATAACTAAAATATTTATTGAGAAACAAATATTAACAAATTGACTTTTAAACATTTTTAAATAATTATCTATCAGTTAGATTTATATTGAAAATAAATTCAGATTAATTATGATTAGAAGATAAAAACACAGAATAAAAAGTCGATATCTATCAATTAGAGATAAATATCAACTAGAGATAACTAATCTTTAATTATTGAATAAAATAGATTTTGAATAAAATTTCATCTTTGGATTTTAAAAATGATCTTATGTTCATCATTGTTAACATAAATCATTCGTTGAAGATGTTAAATTAACTTCGAAGTCTTTAATTATTTTATTATTTTACGAATAGGATATAAATCACTTCCTAATATATACTTTGACATTGTTATGCTGGTTCCACAAACAAATTCGGTTGAATAGATATTATATATAAATAGGATTATCTATTAGAGATAGATATCCTTTATTAGATTCGTCTACTAATCGATCTGTTAGGATTGATAACTAGAATCAGATCGATCTATAGAAAGCATAGATTGAATAAATATTAACAATTGTAATGGCCTTTTCCATTTCTATTAAATGGTGAATAGCATCGTCAAATGATGACTGCTGAAAATGAAGAGCAGCCGAAAAATTGGAATAAAAATCAAGGTGTTATAAAGAGTATATTGTCAATGATAACAATTAAATAAACAAGTTGAACAAGAAATAAAATATAATAGTTAACAACTAAATTAATTAAAGTGATCTAAAGGATATTGTTGAAAAAAGAAAAGAATTAAAAAATGAGATTTTTCAACTAGCTCGTCCTGATCGATCGTTGTCATAAATTGTGTTAATATCTATCTATATCGCCGCAATAATTGACGTTTTTTGACTAATAAGATAAATTGGTAATAAATCAAATTGAAACCGAATTAATCTATTATCTAACGGCGAACATCTATCAATGGTTACTCACAATCATAAACTAAGAGTTGAACAACTAAAAAAACATATCGAGCAACAATTATAGGAGGAGAATAACTAGTTTGACAATATTCTAGATCGACTGAATGATAATTTCTCGATGATTAATAATCTTGTTTATGTCGAATTATATCATAGTGGTCATAAAGGTGTTCATCTAGATTAGGTAGAAGATTGATATATCGACCCTATTATCTCTTTATTATCGGTGATCATCTTATCTATTGGAAATCTCTTTCATCTTTTTATTTATCTTTCTTTATATTGTCTTTATTGCTTCATTATTTAATTGTTTGTTTTTTTTTTAAAATTTATTTTAATTCCGTTGGGTAGTGATATCTATGGAGGTTGAGTTCAATTGTTCGTTTATGATCGAGAGAGAGTCATAGGTATAAATAATGGTAATTATAATATATTAAATAATGGTAATATATGTTTTATAATTGAATAAATAAAAATCAATCTTTATTTTCAATATAGTTACCTTCGATAAGAAAATCATTTTTATCATCCATAATCAATTTGCTTCTCCGAAAACTTTTCTCAATGTTTTTCAAGTGTTTCAATATCTGTTTTCTATTGTTTTAGGTTCGGTCTCCTAGGTTCGATTTTGAAAAGATAATATTTTAATGACTCGCCATGCCTTTACTGATTTGTGCAGTCTATCGTTTATCATATTTGTGTAATGTTTTTTCTTTTAAGTATCCTTCTTCGAAGCTTTCGAAGCTATGCAACTTATTAGAGTTGTGATATATTCTCTTGATCTTAGAACCAAATTGTGGTGTTGATCTAGGTTTGGTCGTGTGAGTGTCGGTGAAGCATGGACCTAGGAGAGAACAAAGACAGGATATTGCATATGGTGTGTCTGTCACCAACCAACTGACGCACGAGATAATACAGAGAGGATACAGATCAACCTATTTCTATTGATAAATGTGCGCGGCATAGTAAAGGGATAGCTCTGAGTTGAGAGATGTAGCTGTGAACGTGACTGTACTCTGTGCGTTTATAAAGCTTTTCAAGGAGTGTCGGAGCATGATCATATTATCTGAAGCGAGAAAATCGTTTACTTATTAGATATATGGATATTGATTTATTTCTATTCATCTTGTTAGACGAAATTGACTAAAAATCCTTACTATTTATGGATATGTCAATATTTAAGAATGTTGATAGACTAGTTTTGAATATGATGATATTCCTTATGAATGTCTCATCACAATTGATTTTAATATCGTCGACTTAACAACGATAAATAAGTTTGATAAAGATAAATTGTGTATATATTGACAAAGATTGTCTAACGATGATTTAGAGAGAATTTTTAATTGAATGTAAAATAGTATGAAAACATCGAAAAGAAATAATAATAATAATAGATATTGTTTATCATTGGATTTGTTTGCTTTTTGATGCATTGTTAACGATCATCTGAGAATTTCATAGAGAAATAAATTTATCTTCTATTTAATAAAAAAAAAAAAACGAGGCATAAAACGTCAGGTGAAATCCTTTATAGTTCAATAATTTAGTAAAGTTGATCATGTAAGATTGTGATCATCATTCTATACTCTTTAATATTCGAACATCTTAAAGAAATATGTTGATGATAAGATAATATTATTATATTTTATTAAATAAGCAACCTATTATTATTTAAAGGATAAGATTGATGGATTTATTTCATGAAAATATTCTAATATGATAAATAAAATAAAAATTGAAAATAAATATTTGATATTAAATTTATTTTGAATTAAAGAATGATATTATTTTATTTCAAGTTAATTTCTCTTTTCTCTATCATTAATATAATACTTTTCATTGATCAAAAACAAATCTTTTCAATCAACAATACGATTTAAGATTATCAATATTTCATCTTTACCTTCATTTATAAATAAAATTAAAACAATATCTAAACAAGTTATTTATTTAGTTGACAATATTATTCTTAGAATAATTATATAAACTTTAATTATTCGTTTCATTTTTATTCTGATTATCATCCTTCTCATCAATAATGACAAAAACTATCGGTTTAACAGGATTTTTATTTCGGATAAAAATCATCGCTTCGCTTTTATGTCAAGCTTAGATAAATTGTGACTTTTACCAAAAAATTTTTCAATTTTTCTTTTCACAATTTTACATGCATAAGATAATGTCAACGCGGTGAACCCGCCTTAAACATCAACATAACATGAAAATCTTCTATCCTAGATCGACTTTCGAGCTTCTTTATCATTTTTCATCTCTCTTTCGACTAGCTTATTTCCACTTGTAACTCAACATAGATTGAACGATAAATATCATCTTTATTAGTAACTTATTCTTATTTTAGACATTATTTCACAGATCTATGAATAACGATCTATATAGAAATATAGATTTTTAGAGACATTTATTTTCATTTTAGTTTTTCTCTTTCTCCGATCGATCATTCTAACCGACTGAAATGGCGTCATTACTCTTGAAAATTATGGAAAATTATTGCCGTTTTTCACCGGAACGTAAATTACGATACTTAGCCTAGGTTTAGTCAACAATAGATGCATAGTTTACAAGGACCGTATACTCTTCTATTTACACCGGTTTTTTGCTGTAGACGATTTATTTTCATTAGTCGAATTGCATTCTGGATACTATTCTAATTCTATATCTATTATTATGCGAAATATTCTATTAGATGAATAGAATTCTTGCATACCGATTTGACATAGATAGGGTAAATAATTATGCCTTCTCTCTATAAAACGAACCATTAAAGATTTTTTTTTCAGATAAACTAGTTCACCAATAAAATCCAGTTGTTCTTCACCCTTTTTAAATATTTACGGTTTGTTGTTTTCAATATTCGATGATCAATATTATTTCTATTTGGATAAATTTCATCCGTAGATATCTAGGATACAAAACAAATCGGTTCTACTATCTATGGAACTTACTTATGAAAAAAAAAAAATGATGAACGAGTTATATGCGAAAATATCTATGTGTATTTTATAACTCAATATTAACCAATATATAATATCAATCACCGTATGACAAGACATAGAGACATTTTTTCTCGAATACATTTCATTTCGTCGAGTAGATCACAAAAAAATCTATCCATCGATTATTAAACAAGCTCAAAAAAGTTAATTGAGATCTGATATTAACTCAAAAAAACAAAATTTAAGAACAAAAAATAAAAACTAAAAAGCGCAATTCCATCTGAGGAAAATCGTTCGATGAAAGATTAGAAATTGATGAAACTAGATATAATAAATAACCTTATTAAGACTTATCTACTAAACGTCAATGAATAAATATTCAATGATATTTATCATATACTTATGCGATTCCATCTGAAATTCGACTTGAATATCGAGCAAAACCATCGGTTCGAACTATGATTGATTTTCGGTGGAGCATAACACAATTATTCTAACAGATATTGTTTATCAAAAATATATTTCAATCCGTTTTTGGACTGTATCGTAAACGATTATTATAATCGAAGCTGTTTTTCACCACTTTTGAGTCGTTTACGGTCTTTTAAGAGTTGTTATATTCAATTTCGATTGATTATTAACAATAGATTTTATAAACAAACAAAAGTTTGTTTTTTTTTTGGTTGTTATCTTTAAATATAAAATATTATCTTTAAATATAAAATATAATTATGAAATGAATTTTGTTTTTGACGAGAAGTTTTACTAAAATAATATTTTTGAACAAATGATTCTTACCAGAATAATTTTATATTTTTAATATTAATTTATTAAATAAAAAGAGAGAAAAAAAAACGTTTGTTTTATTTGTCAATGAATGAAAAATAAATTTTTTATAGAATTTTTTTTAAAAATATCTTTATCATTAGATTTTTTAATAAAAATAAAACATTCGATTTAAAATTAATTTAAATCATTTTTTTTTCAAAGAAAAAAATTCATTTATAATTATTATTTTATTAATTATTTATATCTTAAATAGAAATCTTTACAACAAAAACACGACAAATTTTTTTTCTTATTAGAATAAATTAGAAAACTAATTTTTCTAGGAATCAATCATCGACAATTATACAACACCCTTATTACAGATAATTCTCATTTCATTTCTATAATATAGATAGACATATCATATTATAAGACACTATCTATTACAATATTGACAAATAAAAACAATAAAATTGAGTTTAACATCGAACTCTAAATAGTTGACGATGTCTACTGACTAGAAAAAATAAAAAACATATCGTAAATTAGTATCTATATCAACAATCAGTTCTCATCTTGATCAATATAATTATAAGAATATTTTACCAAATCGGTACTCATATGTTGAAATTCAGTGAAAAAAAGTGACGTCTACAATCACCTTAAAAACATTAAAATTAGAATTTTACATCTACAATTTTTATAGATCAATCTTCGCTCCAACTTTTTCATAATAGAATTCCTCCTTGATTAAAACATCTAAATGATCAATTAAAATCTGCATCCGAACAATCGTCAAAAAGTTCGTATCTACGATTCTAGAAGTATCAAAAATATTTTGACTTGTTAGACATTGACGATATTATCTCTATAGTGCCTATTATACTTCTATAGTTGAATATAATATTTTACCTGATGGTAGATCTAACTTATCAACGGAAACAATCTAACATTCCTCTTTATTAATTCACTTTCGAATAATATCGTCGAAATTCTCGTCTAGAGCAGGATAACGATCCACAACATCAGATTAATATTTGTAAAAAATTTATCGGCGACAATATACTAAAATTGTTAGATTGGTCATTGAACATTCTTGATGTTAATTCTATCGATAAAATATGATCGATCATAAAAGGAAAATTTAAAAAAGAAAAGTAAAAAAAAATTGATAAAGTTGAACATATATTATAGGTGAAGAATTGAAAAATCTTATAAAAAATAGTCTGATCTTATTGAAAGAGAGATCTTTCTCTCTTATTTGTTCTTAAGATGAATCAATAAAATATTGAAATATGCTTTTCGATACTAATGATAATAAACTATCAATCAATATATGAAACAATTTTAAGATAATATATATGTTGGAGTAGAAATTAAAATTCAGTAGAATTTAAAATTCTACTAGTAGAGATTAAAATTTCAATTTCTACTAGGAGAAATCGAAATAACAGGCGATTTTAAGTTACACTAGTAGAAGTTAAAATTTTAATTTCTACTATAGGAGAATTTTAAATTCTACTAGAAACTTATACTATAAAATTATGCAAATTTCTCCTAGAATAGAAAATAAAATTAACTCATAGGTGATCACTAGATTATTTGATTTAATGCCAAAATCCACTTGTAATTCACTAATAGTAACTAATTTAACGTGTTTATTGATTTAGAATTTAAACTGAGCTTCACTCTAACCATCTTTTATTACCAATATGATGCTATTGTAACCAATTTGTGTGATAAGCACTTTAAAAGAAATCTTTTTCTAAAGATTATATATGCTTATCAAATTTCGAATAAAATGGTTCTATTTTATATCATATTGAAGTGTTTTTTCTTTTGATACTGACGCGAGGAGTTCAAATTAAATATCTAAAATCTTTTTTTTTCTTTTCGTTCGACATATTACATAATTAGAATAAGTATTAATTTTATTTTCTATTCTAGGGGAAATTCGCATCATTTTATAGTATAAGTTTCTAGTAGAATTTAAAATTCTCCTATAGTAGAAATTAAAATTTTAACTTCTACTAGTGCAACTTAAAATCGCCTGTTATTTCGATTTCTCCTAGTAGAAATTGAAATTTTAATCTCTACTAGTAGAATTTTAAATTCTACTGAATTTTAATTTCTACTCCAACATATATATATATATATAGGGAAAGAGAATATTTTGAAGATTTTTTTGTAAATACCTCTATATTCAATATAATTAAAAGAAATTTAAATTGAAATATTCAATACCCAACATAAATCAATATTGACTTAAATTAAAAAAAATAATTCAAATAGATTTCGATAAAAAAAAACTGATCTACTATGAAAAATTCTCGTGTATAGTTTTTTTCTTTTTCTTTTTTTTGTTGTCAATGATATATTCATCGATTTGAATAAAGATTCAAAAATAAAGTTGATAATGAGGATTGATTACGAGAATACATATATATATATATATATATATGATTGTAGTGTAGACTCATTGAGGCATATGTATATAAAAGGTGAAATAGTTCGATAATGGTTTATATCGAGTTGCTTATGTATATGTCAATGAGAAAAAACATGAAGAATTGAAAAGTGAAGCCGACCAGAGAAACAATTTCAATTCTTTTTTTATGCATTCTTTTCAAGTTATTACGTAAGATTCTATTGATTAGAAATCAATATTTTAATTTAAAAGAAAAAAAAAACATTTTTTGTTTTTTTTATTTTTGAAAGAAAACCAAATAAAATATTTGAAGTAAAAAGATCTAATAAATGAATAAATGTTAAAATATGAAGATGAATCGAATGTTGAGTTAACATGAGGAATATTTGAATATGTGAAGATCGAACTGTTAAAATATTGAATGTGTGACATATATTGATAATCGTTTTTCACATTTATTTCTGTCATGATTGAAGACATTTGTTCTCTTATGTAAACTAACGAACGTGTCCAAGTCATTAAGGTAGACATGTTTATGTCTATCACAATCTTTCTTTACGCAAGATTGATCTTTAATCAATAACTACAATCATTCGCTTTTTTTTTCTTTTCTTTTCTTCATCTTCAATCTGTCACCATTTTCACTTTTTTATATAAATCTTTTTCATTTTTTCCTCTTTATATTATTATAATGATGGTGATTACACAAGATCTATGAGTGCCATTTGATCGTTTGTATATAAATGTAGGTCGTCTGATATGGTCGTTTATTGTTTTGAGTATATGGTCAACAAAATGAAGATATAAACGATATAGGGAGAGTTGTCGATTTCAATAATCTTACTTCATTGAGGAAAGGATGAAGTAAACTTATCCTTTTATTTTCATTGTTGTTTTAGTTATAAGAGAAAGAGAGAATAAAAGATTGTCGAATATGAATTATATAAAAAATGAGTTGAAAGGATTTTTTTGAAAAAGAATAATTTGAATATATATATAAATGTTTGGAATGAATATTAATTCTAATAAATAGATATATAAAGATAATTATTTCTATATATATATAATTAATTGTTAATCAATAATTAAATAAAAATGTAAATAAAAGAAAAAAAGAAAATTGAATAATAAAAAAATGTTTTTAAAAAAGTTGTCAGTTAGTATAATGATTAAAATAAGGATTAAATGTCATTGAATAAAATTGTCTTGTTTTTGGATAATGTTGAATATGAATATATTTTTGATAAGGATTAATTGAATAATAAATATAAGGATATTTAATTCGATTAATTGAATTGTTAAATAAATATTTTCTTTTATATGAATAAATATCTTTATTAGTTTTTGAACGATTTGATTGAACATTTCTATTATCTTCTATAAAAAATTCTTGATTTAATTTAATTTTATTATTTTTGATAAAATTTTTTTTATGAAATATTTTTTTTCCAAATTGATAAGCTAATGAATAAATAATAAACATAAATAAAAGAAAAAAAAATATTATTGAATATAAAGATAATAATGATGATTTAAAATAATTAAATTCAATTAAATTTTTATTAATTATTGATTTATTTTCATATTTATCTTCAGATGTTAATAATTTAACAATAAATGGTATTGAATTATCATTATTTAAATAAATATTTGTTTTATTTAATAATGATAAACATGAATAATAAATAGTTATATATTGTCCATATAAACCATTTTTATTTGAACATGGTTTAGAGATTTTTAAACAAGTTTTATCAATTGAACAAGAATTTTTATCATTACAAATTATATTTGAATATTTTGTTATACGACGTGAACAATTTGTTCGATATTTACAACAATTATATTCGGATAAACAATATTCATTTGAATTATAATATATTTCAATTAAATTAAGACGAATTATTTCATTTTTATTACAATATATATTTAATTTATCATTTTTATTAAATGAACAACATGTATCAATAAAATATTCATTTGATAGAAATGAATCATTATTATTTAACATAAATATAATTGATGGTTTTAATAAATAAATAAATAATTGAAATTTTATCTTATTCATTGACTATTATCAAATAAGACATATTCACCAGTAGTTATACCTATATGACATAAAACAGATATTCAATTTATAAAAAAAAAAAAAAAAAAAAAAAATTCTAAATGAGTTGTTCTTATCATAAAACGCTTTTAGTTGTAGTATTAGGATAAATGAATGATAGATAGAGAGACAAATGATGAAGAGAAAGAACGAAATAGAAACAATAAAAGAAAAAAAAAAGAATTTTAGTTGAGTTTATTTGAACGTTGATAAAATAAGTAAAATATTTAAGATTAATAAATGAATATGTTGATTGTCAACATAAAGAGAAGAAGAAAAAAAACGTTGTCCAATATAGAATAGAATAACTATTGACCTCAAGGAAAAAATCTAAGGACGTTTCATATTTATCCACTTTTATGTTTAATCAAAGAAAAAGATTTTTTTTTGTTAATCTAACCACTTTAAAAATCAATCGATTTTATTTATTCATATTCTTATATATAATATAAATATAACTATTAAATAATATTATTTTATTTAATATAACAATTATTATTATTAAAATCAAACATATTAATAATTATCTTTCAATAAATAAAAAATGAACTAGTTTTTTTTACGATATCAATCATATTACTTTACTCATCAAACTATTTTATTCAATATTTAACAGAAAATAAACGAATGAAATTTATTCGAGAATTCTCTTAACTTATATTTATTTTATATATTATTCTCAGAAAGAAATAAATCAGTAATCTATTCAAATAAATATTATCTTAACATATATGACGATAAAAAATAAAACCTTACCTTTATTTTAAACAAAACTATTTAATATTATAAATATATAAAGAATAACTTATTTAACTTAATTTAATAAATGAATATTATCATTTATTATATTTATTTATCAATTCATATTTCTTACCTTATCTACTTTTGTAGACTTTTCTTCTTTTTTGTTTTTTTTTATTCAAATTAAATTCATATTGAAAACAATTTGTATTGCTTTTAATTCGAATTGATTTTTCTTTTTTAAATAATTTATTTATTTCTATTAATATTAATAAAAGATATTTAGACAATTATTTATTTAAAAACAAATTTTATATCTTAGAATGATTCTAAAACATAAAATAAATATTCATATTAAACAATTTATTTTCTTTTTCTTCAATACAAAACTAAGACGAATAAGATCTATGAGCTTATACTCGTTAATATCGAATGGCTCGTGTCCATATATAACATTATATATACATCAAGCAAACAGACGAGAGAAAGTTGTATAATGTGTGGTGCACCCCCATCGTTTTCTCTCATGTGTTTTTTTTTCTTTGTTCTTTCGTTTTTTGTGAGACATTCTACAATTCATATTGTTGCAACAACTCTATTAAATCAAACAATGATCGATGATAAGCCGACAACGGGAATAATTGAAAAAAAAAAGGAATTTATTGCATATGAATAGATTTCTAAAGTTTAGTTAAATAAATAAATATCGTTTTAACAAAATACTTTCGAATATTATTATAAAATGTTTATTTTTATCAATTAAATCAATTCATATTTATCTTCTTGACAAATATTTTTTAGTCATTTAAAATTATTTTCTTTTTTTTGTTTCAATTTAAAAAATTAAATTTCATTTATTTTTGAAAAATCCTAACTTATTTAAAGAATTTTTTTATCTTTTTATAATTATTTAAAAAACAAAATAAAACAATAAGATTGAAAATAGTTGAGAATCGAAATATTTTATTAAATATGAAAATCAATATCGATATCTTTGTTTATATATTCATTAAAATAAGATAATTATTTATCAAATTTCATTTTAAAAATTCTTTTATTTTTCTATATAAATGATTATCGTCAAACAAAAACAAAAAACGTTTCAATATGATTTCTTCAATGAGTTTTATCAAATCTATTTCAATAAAGTGAATTAGTTATTATTAAATTTTATAAAATCTATATATATTTATACTAATCTCAATATCAACTACCGACAATTAATAGTAAACTTTACTAAAAAAACACATTTCGACACATTCTCTTCACTAGATTTATTTAGATAAAGAGTAAGAAGCTTAAACATATGTAAATGAGAATGTGTGTAAACGAATATAATCTGGTAAAGACATATTATTTATCTCAATATAACATCGATTCATCTATTCACCAGACAGACATTAAACACTGATATTCATATATCGAGACAAATTAATAAAAGGATATTTATTTTATTTAACTTTAAATAAATCCATACCAAATGAATATATTCATTAGAATGTTTTATTTATCGAAAACGATACTCGTGTTTTTTTATCTTTATAAAAAAAAAAAGTAAATATGTTATTATTGAGTTAAATTATAAATGAAAATCGAATAAAAAAGTGAATATATTCTTAATAATCTCTGTTATTATTTGAAGTAGTATGATGTCATTTAAAAAAATAATCTTAGATTTTCTTTTGTTTTCTTTTTGAAAAAAAAAACGTTGAATAGAGATTTAAACAATTGAAATTGAAGGATAAGTGAGACTTAACAAGTGAATGAAGAATAGAAGAAAAAAAAAGAAGTTTATTTCTATCCTTATTGATTATGTAAATTTATTTATTTATCTATTATATAATCATTTAGATAAATAATTCATTATTTTATCATTTAACATAAACAATCATTTTACAAAATAACAACTATTTTATTTATATATTCAACATTTTTTTTATTTTATCATTCAAAACAAAAATATCTTATTAAATAAAAACTATTTATTTATTAAATAATAAATAAATAAATATTAATTCTTGAAATAATGTTAATCATTATAGTAAATAACTATAAAATAATATTTAATAGATTTATTTATCAGAATAATTCTTATATAAAATAGTTTCTAGTTTTTTTCATGTGTTAATCAATGGTTAACAGTCTTATAGAACTTTTCAAATCATTTTTTAAATTGAATCTTATCACATTTAAAATAAACTAACTATTTAAAATATTTCTAGATAAAAATAGCTCTGTTTATAATAAATAAGAATGAATATATTATATCTATAATTATGGTAAAATGTTCGATTTATTTCAAAAATATAAGAATAATCTTATCGATTATTTAAAAAAAAAATATAGATTATATTTAATAAAATATATTATTTGTTGAATATAATTCTATTCGTTACCGTTGGGAATTTATCTTTTTATGCATTATTATATATCCTATTGGCTAAAGGTTGATTGAGTTTTTTTTAGTCGAATTCTTAATCTGAATTGAATTAATGAAAATCTATTTTATCAGATGAGAACTTATTAGCATTGATTGTTTTTGTTGTAGATCATCTTGAAAAATTCTATCATCAGAAATAAACTTCTATACATATCCATTCTAATAGTATATACTTATCTTAGGAATTTTTAATAATCTATAATTAGTTATATTCGTCAATGAGACATATTAACAAAAAGATACCTTTCATTTAAGATATATTTATCAAAAAGACTCGAACAATAATATTTGTTGCTTCAATTTTATATTAAATTTTATCAATTTAATTTATCGAAAAAAATTTGAAAAAATCTTAGATTGATTTTATAAATAGATATTCGTATTCATAGTTAAATCTCTTCAGTTAAAATATTGCTTTTATTTAGTAGTAAATAGATCTAGAATAAAATGGAAATGTTTAAAAGAGTTTGATTTAGTTCAATGCGAGAACAATCAATTTTAAAATCATTTAAGAACGTTGTCTAAGACTCGTTATAAAATGGCAAATCATCTTAATTATAAATCATCTGAATATATTTTAATTATAGAATTATTTTTGTTAATATATTAGATTTTATTGATATTCGTTCATCTTTTATTTATGTTTATCTTTATTATATATAGAAATAAATTCATTTGTAACTAAAATCAGTTTTTTCGATGAGAAATTCTTCTTAATAGTTTATTTAGTTAATTAATATTAATATGTGAATTATTTTTATCCAAAATAATATTTTCAGTAAACATTAGTTAATATTGGTTTCTATCTCGATCGATGAAACGAGAGAAGGTGGAACACTCCCAATTGTCTCATATCCCTCATCGACATTATCTCGAATTAAAATATAAATTTATTTATTTTTAACTATTTATTAAACGAAACAATTTTCGAAAGATAAATAATAATAATAATAAATATATTTAAACATCAAGAATAATAAGTTGTTTACTTATTGTTGTTTGACCTTTTCGATTATAATCGGATATAAGAGGAAGAGGAAGAGGAGTTTTTAATTGTTTATCTTTGTTAATATTATCTCTTTGTGATGAACTATGACAAATAAAAGAATCTTTTTTTCTTTTATCTTCTTCTATATTATTCATATCAGTTCCTTCAATTCTTGTTTTTGAATCGCCTTTTTCATTATATTGATCATATTGATCATAATCATATTGATTTATTGTTGAAGTTGAAGTTGAAGTTGAAGTTGAAGAAGAAGAAGAAGAAGAATGATTATTTTCTGTAGTTGTTGTTGTTGTTGTTGTTGTTCTATGATGGTTAATGGTCGATTTGCTAATTATTTTTCTATAATTAAATGTTTGTGTTGTTGTTGTTGATTGAATATAAGGATGATTTGTTGATGAAGATTTTATTTGAAAATCTTTTTGAAGATAAATATGATTATTTAATTTTTTAATTGAATCGAAATAAAATGGTATTTGTTTTGTTTTATCGTTGGATATTCGAATTGGATTAGGATTTATATTTAATATTGATATATAAATTAAACATACGAAAAATAAAACTGATTTATTTATCATTATCGGTCAGTTTGAATAAATATTTGTTTGATCCCAATAATAATATAAAAGTTTATTCTCAATATCTATAGATCTATATATAATAAATGTTGATTAATTTGAAGAGTAGAAAAAAATCTATTCGATAAATAAAAAAGGTATCGTTCGATTAGTGATTATATATATGAATAAATATATATTCAATATATCATAACGGTTGATTAATAGTCAATATTAACTGATATAATCAATAAAAACTAAATCATGCATAAAATCGAATGATTTTTTTTTCGAAAAGACCATTTTAAAATAAATTAACTGAAGAAAATAAATAATAAAATAAATATCATTCGATAAGTTCAATTTATCGTAATTTAAACATATTTATTGATAAATCATTCAATGAAAATAAATCTTTTGCTTTTTTTAAATACTCTTTACATAAAAGATTTCTTTTAGTTTTATTTTTTTATTGATGTTTTTTTCCTTAAATATGTTTATTTTATTTTAGTTGGATTTTATTTTTAAAAAAACGTGTGAAAATAAATCTAAGATAATATATAGGTAAATAGGGACACGTCAATCAATGATCGAACTGATTGTATTTTCATCGTTCGAATGTGTTGTCTTTCGATAGTTTCAACCGTTTTGCTGAATGTTTTAGGTTAGATAAGGTTATTCATGAAGTTTTCCAAATGAGACTATTTTTATCTAATAGTTTCTCGATAAATAGATTTGTCAGAATTCTAATCGTCAAAAAAATAAAAATTTAATATGTAAAATGTGTTCTTGTTGAAGAAAAATAGATTATTTTAAGGTGAATATTGTCAGGCCTTATTCATGAGGAGAATATCTAACATTGAGCAAAATTTAATATAAATATATGATTGTTGAATTATTTAATGAATATATTGTCATAAGTTAAAAATTTCTTGATAGAATTCTAATATGAACTATCGAAGAAGAAGACATAGAGAGAAAGTGTCTTGTTCGATTGTATTTATTTGATACTAGATCATTTATCAGTTAAATATGATGCCGTTCATAAATTTATCTTGTGAGAGATTCCCTTGTTAATTAAAGGAGAAAAAATAAAAATGAAAATATATAATCGATTGTTCTGATTGAGAAAAGTTCAAGATAAATAGATATAATTGATCGTATTCGTATGGTTTTATGTTATTTTTATTATTGTATAGGCTTGATTTATTGCGTGTTGATTTATGAAAGATTTTTGTTTTTTGAGTTATTCACTTAATGGAACATATTTGTGAGTACGAAAAGAAATTGACAGTGGAAGAAATGTATTGATAATCTGTTCAATTAGATTTGACAGATCTGTTAATACAAAATAAAAAAAGATTCAAATGATAAATGAATTAATATTAAAAAAAAAAATAATTGTTTTCATTAAAATTATACATCAAGAGTTTGTCGATGAGAAGATTTTGATGTTATAAATGATCGTTTTTGTATTTGATGTTGATTAGATGATAAAAGATGTTTATTAGATAATGTTGATAAATGTCTATTAGAATTATTTCTAACAGTTTCTTGCAATGTTTGTAAAAGTAATGGTGGAGAATAATTAGTTAAATATCGATATTCCGAATAAAATTGTTGACTTTTTCTTGTTGAAAGAAATGTTAATGCATTAGATTTTAAATTTGGTTTTATTGTTGATGCTTTTTTCATATATGAATATTTTGATGATGTATCAAATTTTTCAAATGAACTTTCTTTAAATACAGGATTAGCTGATTTTGGAGCAGGAGTTTCACTTAATAATAGACGATCATATTTATTTGATTGATATTTTCGAGAAAAATCTTTTAAATTTTTGAAATAAAATGGTGTTTCACCTGCATTTTGACTAAGTGATGATGATAAACGGTCAAAATATTCATCATCAGATATAATAGATGAATTTAATTCATTCGAACTTTTATTTGTCATTTGTATTTGTTGATTATTAACCATTTTTAATAAATCATCATCACTGAAATTTTCTTCATTTTTTATAAAACGTCTTAGAGCTAATGCTGATAAACGTTGCTGTATTAAATTGGCTGGTAAACGTTCTGGTGATAAATTGGCTCGTGTTTTTATTTCAATACAATCTGAACATAATTGTGGTCCAAGTAATGCACATGTTTCACGATCAATAGGATTTGTTGTTGATGAATAAGCTCTATGACATCGTGGATCAACAGGTGTACTTGGTGGACGAACGATTAAATCAGGTTTTATAGAAGTAATTGTACCTGATGATGTTCGACGTTCAGATAAATTATCTTTATCATCTTTTTGAATAGTTGTTGTTACTGATTGATAACTATTCGAAGTAAATTCATTAAATGAAGGAGATATTTTATTTATAGTTGATGTAGATTTTAATGATGTTGCTGAAGGTATATGTGTTGAAGTTGAATAACGATTATTAGGAGATTTCTATAGAAATTTTCAAATTATTTTAATATTAAATATTAAGATTAAAATAAACCTGTTTAATTGATTCAGTTTCAAATGATTTAGTTGGTGATTTAAGAAAAATTCTTGGAATATGTTGACCTTGTGTTGCTGTACTTCCACGTACAACTCGTATTGTATCATTTGAATTTGTTTTATTTAAATTAATATCATTATCAAAATAATTATTTATATAATGATTACGATTCGCAGCTGATGCTCGTAATCTTTGTAAATACCATCTTGCATTAACTTTACCTGATTTAGTTCTACCTCGTGGAACATCAGACTGCACCATCAATTATTCTTTTTTTATTTTTACAAGTATTTTTTTACAAACTAAACGATCGTTTTTCTTTTTCTTTTTCTTTTATTTGTTCTTCTTCTTCTTCTGTTTTTCACTTCAACAGTTATTCTTATTCGTTCAGTGTTCGTTTAACTAATGATTACATTCTATAAAACATATTGTGAAGCTAAAAAAAGAAAAAGAAAAAAAGAAAAAGAAAGAAAGAAATGAAGAGCAGAACACAATTGGAAAGAAAAGCAAATGAAATTGAAGTGCAATATATACAAGTGAAATATGTTTTAACAAGAATAATGTCATTCTTTTTTCTTTTTTTAACCAATATTTTAATAGAAGGTATTTAACGAATAAAATAAATCTCATTTTTTTTCTTTCTTCAATAAGATGAATACATAAGTAAAAATAAAAGAAATTATTTCTAATATTAACTTTATTCAAAAGAACTTTTCTATAAGGTTGAACAAGATATTATTCTTCAAAATGATAATTATTTTAATTAAAATTTGAAATTTTTCTATTCTTTTTAAATAATTTTTGAAAAATTTATCGAAAATATTTTTTATTTAAAGTTGATTTAAAAACCTCTATAGAAATAATTGATTTCAAATTGAACATATAAATAATCGATATTTAATTATTCATTCAAGCAGAATCAATTTGTATTAAAAAAACAAAGTTTATTCAACTGTTATCGAGTTTGAAATAAAATTAATTTCTATGATAAATTGTTTATATTGTTGACTTGATAAAAATAAATAAATAAATAAATAAATCTAATATATATTGATGAATTAATTCAAATGAAAAAGAATTTTTTAAATTCGAACAAAAATTTTTCTCTTTAATCAAAACAAAAACTTCAATAGATAAATTGAAATGTTGAAATTTGAATTTAATATTTGTCTAATGACCTTGATTTGTTTATTGAATAAATTCTCTTTTTTCTTTGTTTTTAAATAAAAAAAAAAATGTCGATTAACAATTGAAAAAACAAACTTGAAAATCGATTGTTTTAAAAAAAAACTGATATATTTATATTCATGTTTAAACATTTCAAACATGACATTTGAAATATTTTTCAAATAAATTTAACCTTGAATTTATCATTTCAATTATTTAACATAAATATATAAAATATTAAATCAATGAAAATTTTAAAAAACAAATTAATTAATTATATTAAGAGAATAAAAATAAAAATTCTTTTTAATCTTTTTAGTTTTTCAATAAAAGTTAATCATTTTTATTTGTTTGTTAAATATAGATAAAATGATCATTTTTTCACATTTTTAATTCCTTTTTACAAAAAGAAAAATAAGTTTTTAGAAATAAAAAAAAACTCAATTAAATAAATTCTATTAATTATTTATTTAAACAAATCAATTTAATATTTTATCGGAAGAAATTCTTAAACTCGTTTAAATCTTTTCATATATTTATTAAATCTTTGACAAAAAAAAAATCCAATTATTTTAATTAATTTATCGAATAAATAATATATTCAAAGAAATCATTTTATACAAATCTTAATTAATATTTAACTTGAAATGAGAGATTTTTTTATAAAAAAGACAAACAAACAAAAAATATTGATTTGTTTGTTTTATGATTCTATTTTAGGAGCTAAAGTTTCGTAAATTTTAATTAAATAAAATATTATATTAAAATAAATATCAATCAGAGTGTTGATATTGTCTTTTATAAAATTCAATAGAATAACAATCATTAAGAAAATAATGCAACAACTTTCCACTGAATATTAACCGTCGTAGTTAAATTTAAGAAAGATTTCTCTCATCGTAGATAATATACATTTCATTCTTTCAATCTTGATTTATTGATTAACTCATTGCACAAACACAAACATTGTTATTCAACTTTTCTCTCAGTTTAACAAGTTAAGAAATGTAAAACAAGAAAAATGTTTAGAGATAAGAGAAAATAAAAGAATTAATTCATATTTAATATATTCTTTCAATAGTATGTTAATATAATATTAATTATAGAAATATTCTATTTTAGTCGAATTTAAATAAAACAATTCATTTATCTAATTAATAAATATAATAGAATTAATTATTATTTATTTAAAGAGTAAACAGCATGGACAACGCATCACGAAATTTCACTTATTGACCTTGTCACATCTATATATCATCAATAATCTACGGAAACTCTTATTATAGATAGAGACTATTTAGATCTATTCATAGAATATATTTCATTGATTTATCTTTAGTCAGACCAG